ACCAACTATCTCACCTATGTGTTGGCTTTTTTACCTTCAGTAAAACAGCAGCAACAACAAAAAATTATTTACTTCCTCTTCAATTAAAGAAAGAGTACAACGAAATGACGTAACTGTTCACGTTCCTCAAAAATGAAGCATAAAGTATACATGTGGCTGGACAATCATAACAACCATCCCAGGACCATCCTTCTTCGGGGTTCGTATTCTTTTCAGTATTTACCACCCCTCTGCAATGGAAGGGGACAGTTTTAAGAGATTCACTGATTTGCCTGAAGTCACAGAGTTTGACCTGTGTCTCATCTGTTTCTAAATCCTTGCATAGTCTTCTGGGTGTCACATGCTGCTATTCCTAATCATTAGGAATTCATTAGGGAATACAGGGAAAGAAAAGACTTAATTTCTAAAGTCAAGTAGGCCAGCGTTTTTCTACATCAACAATACCTGGCATTTTAAATGGAATTAATTCTTTGTTGCAAGGGGCTGTCCTGTAGGATATTTAGCAGCATCCTGGGACTCTAACCACAAGAGGCCAGTAGCATTCCCCTCCGCCAACCTGGGACAACCAAAAATGTCTCCAAATGCTGTCAGATGTCCCCTAGGGAACTCAAGTGCCTGTGGTTAAAAACCACTGTGCTTTACATATAACATACAAATATGTGGAAACGGAAACAACCTACAAGGAAAACTTTAGAGAAGGCCTAATTCTCCTCAAATATCTGAAATATTTCCACGTAAAAACAGGAATGGATTTGGCATACCAGGGAGCAGACCTATACCCAGTGGGTTGAAGGTACATAACAATAAAATCAGCTAACATCTATGCTTCCTATGTGCCACGTACTGTTCAGTACACTTTGCAGTATTATTTTATTTAGTCCTCACAATAACCCTGAGAGGTCAGTAGTACTGGCTCCACTTTACAGGTGAAAAAACTGAGGCTCAGAAGTGTTAAAGAATTTGCCCAAGGACCAAGAGCTAATAGCAAAAGGCAGAACTCGTACTCAAACCAAGGTCCAATACTGAGCCCAAGCTCTCAACTGCCAAGTATTATGACCATAACAAATTAAGGATTTTACCTCAGTAAAATAAAACAAAGAACTTTTTGACTTAAAAACTGTTTCTTTCATAAGGAGATTTCTCGAAGAACTAAAAGCAGAACTACCATATGATCCAGCACTTCCACTACTGGGTATCTACCCAAGGAAAAGACATCATTATACAAAAAAGACATCTGTACTTGTATGCTTATTGCAGCACTATTCACAATACCAAAGTGATTAAACTAACCTAAGTGTCCACCAATGGTTGATTGGATAAAGAAAATATGGTATATATACACTATGGAATACTACACAGCCATAAAATAAGAATGAAATCAGGCTGGGCATGATGATTCATGCCTGTAATCCCAGCATTTGGAGTGGCTGAGGCAGGTGCACTGCTTGAGTCCAGGGGTTCAAGACCAGCCTGGGCAACATAAGACAGGAATCCATGTCTATGAAAAAATGTTTAAAAATCAGCCGGGTGCTGCGGTACACATCTACAGTCCCAGGTACTTGGCAAGCTGACGTGAGAGGATCACCTGAGCCCAGAGGTTGAGGCTGTAGAAAAGAAAAGAAAGAGAAAGAAAGAAAACAAAAAAGAGAGAGCGCATTTATACAACAGCTTCCAAACAATGTAATACTGTATCTGAAAATTGGTCATTAGGATTCTTGGTGTTTATCTTTTTAGTGACATACTAAAAAGGTATTAGTGAGACACTGTCTCAACAAAAAAAAAAAAAAAAAAATAGAATAAAATAATATCCTTTGCAGAAACATGGAGCTAGAGGCCATTATCCTAAGCAAACTAATTCAGGAACAGAAAATCAAATACTGCATGTTCTTATTTATAAGCGGGAGCTGAGCAATGGATACACGTGGACATAAACATGGAAATAACAAACACTGCGGACTGGAAAAGGAGTAAGATTGAGGGAGGTTGAAAAATTACCTATTGGGCACAATGTTTGCTATTTGGATAATGGGTACACTAGAAGCCCAGTCCCCACCAGTATGCAATATATCCATGTTACAAACATGCACATGCATCTGATTCTAAAGTAAAAAAAAGTTGTTTTAAAAAAAAAACAACTGTTTATGTAGCAAACAATGATTTCCGCAGCCACCATCTCAATCCTATCTGTCCAGATCAGAAACGCCTGCCTTCATAACTTTCAGGGAAGTCTCTGTTCTGAACTCCACTGAGCCCCTGTACAACACTGAATCCTTCCTATTTCAAGTTACTCAAACTTACTAACTTCCTACTTAGATGCTTCCATGAGAGCAGGGGCAATCAGCTTCTCACATATATACTCCCCGACAAAGCCTTGCACATACTAGGGCTCAATAAACACTTTCTGAATAAATGTTCCGGAGGCAGAAAGCCTCCAGTACTACCTCTACCCTCCAAAGCCCACACCATGAGAGATGTTTAAGCAAGCACCTTTAAGAGATGTGATTCTTGCATTTAAGCTGAAGACGTTATTGGATATGCTCTGAGTTTTTTTCCAACTCTGAGAATCTGAGTCAGGAAAAGGCAGAAAGGGACAGATGAGTGACAACACAGCCTGCTGGCTACATCTTCTACCAAGCTACCAAGGACTCCCTTGACTATGATCAGAAACCATGTGTCAGGGACTACATCTATTTATGTGCATATCTATATGTACATACTTACATGTACACGTATACATACACACATATACATGTGTATCTGCAAATGCATATCTATCAGTTCCCTCTGTAAGAAATTAAGCAGACAAGTGAGGCACGGCGGCTCACACCTGTAATCCCAGCCCTTTGGGAGGCCAAGGCAGGCAGATCACTTGAGGTTAGGAGTTTGATACCAGCCTGGCCAACATGGTGAAACGCTGTCTCTACTAAAAATACAAAAATTAGCTGGGCATGAAGGCAGGCACTTGTAATCCCAGCTACTCAGGAGGCTGAGGCAGGAGAGTGGTTTTGAACCTGGGAGGCAGAGGTTGCAGTGAGCAGAGATTGCACCTCTGCACTCCAGCCTTACAGAGTGATGCTCTGTNAAAAAAAAAAAAAAAACCCAGAAAGAAATTAAGCAGACAAACAGCTACAAGGTTTCTGAGGCCCTGGGCTACACAGGGCCTCAGAAGCCAGTACAGGATGTACAAAAAATTAAGAGTCTCTTTCTTTCTTCCCCTGGTATATGAACCAGGTAAGGCAAATAATGCTCTACAGTAACGCTCCTTATAAAATACCAGCACACCTACTGCCAACCAGTTCTACATCCCACAGGTATCAGCGTCTGACACCCTTTCAAGAAAGTGCCAAGTAGCCAAGCCCTGTTCTTGGAAGAAATGGTAGCTCCTATGTGCAAGATGCTTTGAAAAGATGCTCACAGATAGTGGAGGGAGAGAGAAGCAGCATCTTTTGGAACATTAAATATTAAATTGGAGTCCCCCTGTCAAGAGAAAAATCCCTAAATAGAACTAGGTTTCTTTTAGAAAGCCCAGGTTTCCAGGCTATACTTCCATTTCTCTTTAAGAGAAAAAAAAGGAAAAAAAAAAGGTTATGCCTACTGTTTATAGAAAACAGAAGCCCATCTTATTACCATATCCAGCTAGTGCCAAGTTCTCTGAGCTAACTTGGGGGTAAAGTGGATGGAGAGCTGGCTGAAAATGCCACAGAGCAATCAAGCAAACACTTTGCCCAAGGGTCAAACTAAGTGGAACAGTTGTTGACGGAAAAGTCGTGGCATAAACCATTGTGGTCTCTCCTTAACTTTCTCAATGTTTTTGAGCAGGAGAGAGAGGAGAGGAACCACCAACACAAGTTCTTCCTACCATCACTAGGTTTCTCACCACTGTACCTGGGATATTCTGGTTCTTTCCTTCCTAACCTTCTAACTCCATCGATGGCATGGCATCTTCTGCCCATTATGTGCAACCAATCACCACCCAAGAGAGGCAGAGATCTAACTATCCAAACAAAATGCATTCAGACAAATGATAAAACAAGAACCAGTGAAAAATGAAACACATCAGCACCACCCAGGAAACTCCCAAGACCAACCACGATCACTCTCCTTCAATTTACAGACAGGTTTTTCCCTTTTCTCCTGACTATTTACTCTCCCAACTTGGGATAACCACCAGTCAGAAGCTTTTAAATGCATGTATCTCGTTCTAGGGGGCTAGGTGTAAAACAGCGCCAACTGGAAACCCGCGCCATTTAAGCGATGTGGGTTTAAGTGGGGCCTATTTTTTTGTTAAGGTACCTTTGTAGAGCAAAAAGTGGGCTTGGAAGCCTGCAGTTTAGCGCTTGTCACCAATCCCTTTTCTAAGGTAAAGGCAATTAGGCCCATGACTGTTAAAAATCTATCTCAAAGCTCTTGTTCTGCGCACATCACAGTCACGGTTGAAAACAAACACAGAATTTTAAAATTTATTTATCCACACCCAAGGACAAGTGTGAGGGCAGCCGAGAAATCATGGCGACAGAAACAGCCGGTGTCCAAGGGGGCAGCTGCTTCTGAGACCTGTTTTGAGACAGGACTGAGAACCAACCCGAGGTACTTTTCTCTCCCAATGTCTCTCCCTCGGTTCATTCATCATATTTCGGTCCAACAAACTGTTTTTCTCCTTTGAGAGGTTTATGGGGAGGGCAAGAGGGACTGAAGGGAAGCGAGGGGGCGACGCCAGGGATTTGTTGCTACACGTAAAGCCGGAAAACGTGCAGATGTTTACTACCAGCGCTCTGGAGACGCCGAGCGCAGCGCGCAGCTGAGCGCTCCCCTCGGACCCCGACCCCGCCTCCCCCACCGTTGGTGCGCTTTCGGCTTTGGAGGCGACGCGCCACCTGCCTTGCCCGACGCGCTCGCCGGACACCGAGCACCTCAGCCAGCACCGCGCGGACCCCCAGGACAGCAGCTCCGACTCCCCTCAGCCCCCGCGCCCACCCCGCGCGCCGCCCACTCCAAGTTACCTCGGAGGCCCGGGTTGTCGTCTCTGGCCCGAATCTTTCGGATTTTGACTGGGCGCCCGCTCAGGGTGGACAGGACCAGACGTTGGCGCAAGAAGTTGCACCCCGCGTAGCTGAGGGAGTGCGCCTGAGTCGCCATGTGCGCGCCCACCGCAGAGAAGTGGGCAGCCCAAGAGCGGCGACTTCGGACAGACGCGGGACTCGTGACCCCGGCGGTGGTGGTGGCGGCGACACCGACGGCGGCGGCGCGGGCTGCCTCCCACAGCCCCGACGCGTCCACGTGGTTTGGAACAGGAAGACGGAGAGACCAGACACCGGGTCAGAGGGGAGCGGGGCGGAGCCAGTGGCCACCTCCCCGCCTCCCCGCCAGGCCGAGGCGGCCCCTGCGCCGGGCCGCGCCGCTATTGGCCCGCGCAGGATCAGGGCGGTGCCCGCGCCGCGCCTCCATTGGCTTGCGCTGAAGCTGGGCGGTGCCCAAGCCGCGCGGCCGTTGGTCCGTAGAGGAGCTAGGCGGTGCCTGGGCCCTGGCAACAGCGCGCGGCTGGAGGGAAAGCGTGAGGGTGGCCCGGGAACCCCGGCGCGGGACTTGCCAGTCGGGGCAATCTCCTATGGGTACCTCCTGGTGTGGTAGCAAGGGGAGATGGCGGACTGATACTGATAGCTACGAGGTGATGGATTCTTAGCATCACTACTTACGGCAACTACTGGGGAGAAGATGCTATTATCTACCCCACCTCTTTCTTACTATGAGACAAAACAGGGTTGGCGCTTTACCGTATCGCAGGGATGCTGCTCAGCGCACTGCCGGCGCAGTCCCCCAGCTCCATGCTGTAACCTTGCAAGGCAGAGCCTTCATGTCTTACTCGTGGAGAAGGGCTCGAGGAATATTGCAAAGCTTACAGTGGCAGCCTGTACTGAGACACGAATCCTCCGACAGCAGGCCTTTGCTTAAGAGACACCTCTTTGCCGCTTTCTCAGGGGCCCCTTCGTTTATCGTCACTGCGTTTCATCCCTAGTCAAGTCCTCCTACCTCGCATGCCTCAAGACAGATAGTTGTAATAACTTCACACACACACACACATTTCCCTCTTTCCCGTCCTCCTCCAATCCTGCACAAGAAAATGTTACCAAACGTTGGATTATTTTACTTCCCTACTCAAAAACCTTCTAAAATTTACAGTTAATTAACAAATGACTACACAAGTAGGAGTACAATGTCGTAGTAATGTGGGTTTGTAGCCATTCTTGGATAACACTTACCAGACCATGAGTTCCAGAATGCATGGGGGTGCGCGCGGGGGTGTCTGAAAGAGGTGGGAGCTTGAGTAAGATTAAAGGATGTAGCTAGCCTTATGTAAACAACAGTGCTCTATAAAGTGGCAGATTAGTAGAGATGTAGGCAGAATTTAATAGAATCTCTGAAGTCCATTGAGAGAGGTTAGTAATCCATTTATATTAATGCCATGTCTGGAGATTGCCTTTTAGGGAGCTCACATTGGTCGTGTAGGGAGCGTTGGAAAAGGTCCAGGACCCCTGAGGGCCTCTCCTGATTGCTGTTGTGGGGATTGTGAAAGCAAGGAGAAAAGCTATCACACCAGGAATGGATCTTTTGTATATCATCTCATTTAAATATGCAACAACTTTAAGAAAACTGTTATCCTCTGTAACAGACCCTGTCAGTTCCCTGTTCATATTCTTTCAGCTGTCACTATTTTCAGTCCAAGCCTCCTTAATTTTCTTCCACCAGCACCTATATCTCTTTGAGTGAAGGTATTTTCCACCTGCAGGCAGGGAACTCAGCAGGCCAACAGTAATGGGAAATTAATGCCCCTCAGAGTCTTCAACAAATTACTGACTGGAGTTGATATACAAATACTTATAAATACCCCAGCTCCCTTGACCCTTGGATGAGAAATCTCTGCGATATCGATTCTGCAGTGTTGTCCCCAAGGAGTTTTAAGCTTTAGTTGCTCACAGTGGTCACTTGCTTAAGTACATTTTACCAGTTTCTTTCCTTTACCTGTATCACTTCCCAGATCCCTTCTGAGATGTCCTGGAATTTGCTCCCAAAGAAACTACTTGCATTCACATTATTTTAGGGTCTTCTGGACACCCCCAAACTAAATCATGATTTAAAATTTGAGAGCTGAGGTTCAGAAAGAATAAATGACCTGCCTAAAATGACTATTAGCTGGTAAATGGCAGAACCAGAATAAAAAACCATTCTCACCTGCCCGGTGGCTCACACCTATAATCCCAACACTTTGGGAAGCGGAGGTAGGCAAATCACCTGAGGTTGGGAAATCACCTGAGGTCAGGAGCTGGCGATCAGCCAGGCCAAAATAGGGAATCCTGTCTCCACTAAAAATACAAAAATTAACCTGGTATGGTGGCACATGCCTGTGATCCCAGCTACTCTGGCACATGCCTGTGATCCCAGCTACTCGGGAGGCTGAGACACAATAATTACTTGAACCTGGGAGGTGGAGGTTGCAGTGAGCCAAGATCACGCCACTATACTTTAGCCTGGGCAACAGAATGAGACTCTCCCAAAATAACCAAAACACACTCTCTCTCTCTCTCTCTCCCCCCCTCCCTCCCCCAACATCCCCCACCTCCTTAAATTGAAGTTTCTATCTGGTTCTATCACATAGAGAGCACTAGCTGTTCCTGCTGACAATCAGCATCAACCACCAGTGAGGGTACTGAGCAAGCATTCAGATGATTCCAGTCCCCAGCCAGCCTCTGACCATTCTTTGGAGCCATCCTAGCTGATGCCATGTGGAGCACAGATGAGCTGTCCCCACTGAGTCCTTCCCAAATTGCATATCCATAAACTAAATAAAAATAATTGTTACTTTTGAAGCTATGAGTTTGGGAGTGGTTTGTTGCATAGTAATAAATAACTGAAACAGACTCAGTGTGGTGCTTTTGTATTGTTTCAGCTCAGGTAAACTGTAACTACATATTCCTGAATTCCCTTCCCTGCATAATTCTGGGTTAGCAAGCCACAAGAAACATCTTGCATAAGATTATTGAAGGCCTGTTGAGAGTAAGGCTCTATGCTAAGGGCTTTACATATACACAGTCTCATTTGGTCCTCACACTGATCAATGCAAAAGTTGGATAATAAATCAATAGAGATTTATGATACAATCTCTCTACTTTTGTTTATATTTGAAATTGTTCATTATAAATTGTTTGTTCATTATAAATTGTTCATTATAAATTTTTATATAATTTTTTACACTAAATGATAAATTGTATATACTTGCTTCGTAATTGCTTTCACAAATACTTCCATGTTAATAAATACAAGAGTCTATTTGACTCAGCCACAAGGCATTGTATCTAGGGGCCACAGAAGAAATGAATTATTCTCAGTCCACAGAGAAAGTTGCTCAAGATCACACTTCTGCCACACTTCTGCCCACCCTGCTATCTCATCATCACCTTTGTTCAAACCATCATAGGCACAAGGTCTTTTTTCCACCTTGGTTTAAAACTAATGCTTACACTGTTCCAGCTTTAGGATGAATTTCTGTGTTCAGTGCTCTTCCTCTGAGCCACATGTAGTCACAGCTACATTTTTACATACATACCCTTTAATAATGTGTTTATCTGGCAGCCTCTCTAACAACACTTTATGAGCCAGTGAGAGCAGGGACTGTGTCCTATCATTTAGAGCAGAAATATCATCTTACAATTGTATCCCCGGTACTTACCACCTAGTAAGATTTCAATAAAAGTGTGACTAGAATTGATTACTTGATGAATTAATTGAAAAACACATGGTTAAGGCTGGGCACTGTGGCTCACACTTGTAATCCACCACTTTGGAAGGCACTTGAGGCCAGGAGTTTGAGACCAGCCTGGCCAACATGGTGAAACCCTGTCTCAACTAAAAATACAAAAAATTAACTGAGCTTGGTAGCGGGCACCTGTAATCCCACCTATTCAGGAGGCTGAGGCAGGAGAATCACTTAAACCCAGGAGGCAGAGGTTGCAGTCAGCTGAGATACCACCATTGAACACCAGCCTGGGCAAAAAGGAGGGAAACTCTGTCTCAAGAAAAAAAAAAGAAGGAAAGAAAAAGAAAAAAAAAGAAAAACACATGGCTAGACTAAATCAGTAAACTCAAGCATCTAAATCATTGGTCCTAAAACATTACCATGCATCATGATTGCCTAGAAGGCTGTTTTGTTTCTTTTTTTTTTTTTTTTTTGAGACAGAATCTTACTCTCACCCATGCTAGAGTGCAATGTCATGATCTTCCCTCAGTGAAACCTCTGTCTCCTGACTTCAAGTGATCCTCTTGCCTCAGCCTTCCTAGTAGCTGGGACTATAAGCGCATGGCACCAGCCTAGGCTAATTTTTGTATTTTTACTAGAGACAGGGTTTCACCATGTTGGTCAGGGCTGACTTGAACTCCTGAGCTCAGGCAATCTGCTTACCTCGGCCTCCCAAAGTGCTAGGATTACAGGCATGAGCCACCATGCCCGGCCGAAGGCTTGTTAAGACACAGATCTCTGGGTCTCATTCCCAGTTTCCACAGGATGCCTGGGGTAAAACTTGAGAATTTACATTTCTAACTGCTTCCCTAGAGACATTAATGCTTCTGGCCTTAGGACCACACTTTGAGAAGCTTTAAAATTTTTAAAAACAAACAAAAGATCTATGGGATGCTTTCAATATACACATAATGGGTATCCCAGGAACGGAGAGAAAGAAGGGGGTAGGGCCAAGAGCAGCAGCTCACACCCGTAATTCTAGCACTTTGGGAGGCCAAGGCAGACATTTCACTTGAGGCCAGGAGTTGGAGACCAGCCAGACCAACATGACAAAATCTTGTCTCTATTAAAAATACAAAAATTAGTTGAGCGTGGTGGTACACACATGTAATCCCAGCTAGCTACTCTCAAGGCTGAGGCAGAGGAATCACTGAAACCCAGGAAGTGGAGGTTGCAGTGAGCCGAGATCATGCCACTATACTCCAGCCTGGGTGACAGAGTAAGACCCTGTCAAAGGAAAGGAAAGGAAACGGGAAGGAAGTGGGAAGGGGGAAGAGGGAAGGCGTAAAAGGAAGAGCAGGGAAGGAAAGTAGGAAGGGAGGGAGGGAGGGAAAAAAGAAAGAAGAAAAGAAAATGGGAAAAGATACTTCAGGTAAACAGAAACCAATAGAGAGCTAGAGAGGCTATACTGATACCAGACAAACTAGATTTTAAGACAAACATAGTTACAATAGACCAAAAAAAAGGGATGTTATATAAAAATAAAAAATCAACTTGTCAAAAACACAGCCACAAACATATACCACCTACCAATAAAGCCCCAAAATATGTCAAACAAAAACGGGCAAAATTGAAGGGAAAAACAGATAATTGTACAAT